ACTGGCGACCTGGATGAAACGCTTTAAAGCTTAAGTCTATGGAAAACCACTGAAACTCTGAACAGCCATATCTCCGTAACGGCGCAGCGATTCCGCACCAAATTCGGGGGATCACTTCAGCTCGAGGAACCCTCTTGAACGCGAATCGAGTGTACGTCTAGAGGCCCTCTTTCGAATGAGACGTAAAGTTTGTTAAATTGTTAAATGCCCTTACATATATCTCTGTCACCATTATAAGTGTTTGATCACCACATTTGAGTGATCATTGCAAAAAATGTGTTTATGTATATATATTCTGTTTATGCATATACTGTATTCTATATATAGTACCAGTCAAATGTTTGGACACACAAATGGGAAAGTGTCCAAACTTTTGACTGGTACTGTACTATAATATACACAAAGAATATCGGCCGATATATCGATCGCGGCCTTTTTTTAACCCCCTAATATCGGTATCGGCCCCAAAAAACCCATATCGGTCGGGCTCTAATGGACACTGACACAATTTTCATAATTTCGGCTCTGTATGCCACCAGAACAGAATTAAAAATAAAACAATCAAGATGAAATCGAAGTGCAGACTTACTAAGCGTTAATTCAAGGAGCTGAACAAAAATATAACATAAAATGCTTAGGAATTACAACCATTTTTTGCTGTTTTTTTTATATTGATTTTATCAAATGTGTGGAATATGTTATGATATTTAAATATGATTAAAAACCACGCTGTGCATTGTAAATAACAACGTTTTATACTTTAATCAATTGTAAGTAGTAAAACAACACAAACGGGGCAAAAATGCGTTTTAAGTTTAGAAACATTTTGAGTCTCCCCCTCCCTTGCCTCACTTTGGTTCAAATGCCTGCTTTCATCTTTTACATCACCTACACACACACACACAAGTCCGGTGAGCAGTGTTGCCAGATTGGGCGGGTTCCCAAGTATGCATGTACTGCATCCAATCAGTCATCACAACGTTACTACACACACACACACTGCAGAGGCGCTGGTGCTGATGTAAACGTCGACAGCCGCACTTATCACGAGGGCTCAGCAGACAGACGTTATGATTCATGAGTGACAGACATTTAGCGTGATATGTTATAACGTATCTGATTTTGAATGTAGTGACTGTATATTCAAGTAATCACAATGCCTAAATATAAGTTAAAGAGTGGGAGAGTGACTCAACTCTCAAAACGTGAATTATTGTGGAGTGAGATGACACGATAGCCTATCAATGAATGACACAGTTTTGACTGTCATGGTGTGTGCATGAACGAGTGTGAAATACCTGCAACGTTGCTTTTTCCTATCACATATATTGGGCACTTTTTGCATTTAAATTGGATTATTCTGACTGCTGACATTGAAAATGATGCATTTCTTGATTGCCGTTTTGACAGTGTTTGCTTGAATATTTTATTCATGTTCAGTAGCCTAATTCCCTTTAATGTAGGCTATTTACCCCGATTCGCTCCGTTTACCTGGGAAATTTATCTAACGTTATATAGCCTAAATTATTTTGTCAACATTATTTTGTTTTAAGGAGTTAAAAATGGCCCTTATCAACCTTGATTTACATATTCCATCACATTATTTTGACAGTTAAAGTTTTGGGCGGGTTTTTGTGAGCTTTTGGGCTGGAAATCATCCATCCAATCTGGCACCACTGATTCCATCACATTTTTTTTAACAGTTAAAGTTTTGGGTGGTTTTTGGGCGGGTTTTTGTGAGCTTTTGGGCTGGAAATCATCCATCCAATCTGGCAACACTGCCGGTGAGAGAGAACAAAGCCAATAGTTGAGGAAGTCCAGTAAGTAAGGCTGTCAAGGCTAATGTCTTCACTTAAACATCGGATGAAGTGATTAGTTTCTCTTTAATACAGATGATGCCAATGTATTTTTCGAAAAATCCGCTATGTTAGCAATAATAACGTTACCTGCTTGAGGGAAATGGTTGCCAGGTTTTCATAACAAAACCCGCCCAATTGACCATATGCACGGAGCGCTATTTAGAACTTCCGGATACAGATAAGCCAGCTCATAATCTTCCGGTGAAGCTCATTTTATATATGTGAGACTCTCACAGAAACCTCTCCTGCCTCATTCTTATCAGAAACTGAGAAACAAAATAATTGCAACACCATAAATAATGATAGCGGAATTAACATACTGTTTTATGTTATTAAAGAACATATACATTTATATGCAGAGTCTGGTAATCCCAGAAAAGTATGCTCAGACACATAACTGTACATTTAAATGCTAACAAATAAACACTAGCGTAACTGTTTAGGCAGTTAGTCTAATCTCTTAAAATGACATCGTAATGGTATTCTCGATAATCAATATCCTACCTATATAGCCATTAATACATTTTTAAAATCTTATACAATTTTAAAACCTTTATTATTTCTCATCAGTAAAATTCACTTTATTAAAGGTTCACTTTTCATTCATGTTTTAGGCTTCTCCTTATTTTAATATCTTAGACATCCATCAATTAGTGATGAAAAAAATTGCCACGCTGAGAAGCATTTGAGAAGGCTAAACTGATCAAACACGCTATGGTATATGACCTATAACAGGCTATGATCAGCTCACTGTCTGCCGCTGGCCGCTTGGTTGTTACTTTAAAAAACAAAAACTTATTTAACAAACAAAAAATGCTCCAAACGTTTTCCTTAATTAACTTAATAAAAAACAAAATGAAATATAGCCTAATCACTTTGCCCATGGGCTCATTGGCTGCAGCTGCCATTTCAACTCCCTGATTTTTTCATGTCTTGCTTTTTGATTTATAATAAAAAAAATATTACAACAAATTTTAGTACTTTATCGCACTGAATATAAAGTGCAAGAAGTCACAAAGTCACTTGTCATTTAAAAAAAATAAGACCAGACAACAGCCTATAATGCTGAATTATTAATATATTTTAAAATAAATAAATAAATAAGGCCAGACAACAGCCTATAATGCTGAATTATTTAAATACCTACATAGTTAAATACAAATTAAATAAGTATAAGAATTAAATAGTGCATTCAATATTTTGAAATGTTTAAATTTAATAATTTAACTACATCGTTTAAGTTTTATCCAACACAGACTTGTTGCTGCTGTAGTTTTGTTAGTCTGAATTTAGTCTCAATCACTTAATGCACAGCTCTATTTTGCATCGGCTGGTCAGATGATTCATTCCGTTGCCACTGTCAATCATAGCAATGACTTATTGGATGATTTAACGGATTCACTCGAGTAAAATTAACATTCGTGTTTGTCATTCCTGAAACGGTATATGTGGACATTTGGTTCTCTTAGACCAACAAAACTTTTCTCCAAATTGTGAATGGATTATGTAGAGAAACCGAGCAAAGGGCGCTCCCTTAAGGCACAGTACAGTTAACCGGAAATGACTGAGCTGGCTTATCTAAAACCAGGAAGTAATTGTGCATATGGTCAATTGTCTACACACTTTACTGTTTCATTTGTAAGGGAGTAGATGGTCTCTCTTTTTGCTTTTTTTCTATTCTACTGGTAGAATCCTTTATTTCCATTTTAAGCAACTGTTGCTTAAACTGATCTTTTTGAGCTTGCATTTGAAGAGCAGACAATTTATTAAATAGAATTAAAATTTCAAAACAATATTTTTTCAATGTGTGAAGTGTTTGCAACAAATGTTCCTATTCTCCTATGGCTTTGCACTGGCTTAAAACACCTGAATTTTGTGTAATGTAACCTTTAACACATCTTAACAATGTGCATGTTTCCTCTGTTGCCCCTTTACAGGATATATTTCTGTAGTCCTTCCAGATTTTGTTTACTGTATGCTTCCTGTTCATCTGTTTTTGTACATGGATGAAAGTGTTCAGCTTGAGAGAGCACTATTGTTTGCTTTTATAGCTCTGCTGACAACCGTTACAAGAACCGGCTGAACTGTGTACAGCCGAAAGCAGGAGTGTATCACCCCATGCAAAGACCTGAGCTAAACCCCAACACAGTCTTTCTCTGCTGGACTACCAGTGCTTTGTCTGGTCTTGTGTTGTGAAAAGATCTGCTCCACTGGGTTCTGGCCTGTAGTGCTGTTTGGGAGCATGTTTATAATAGTTATTGAAAACACACACACACACACACACATTTATTATTATTATATATATATTTTTTTCTTTGGCTCTTTCGGAAAAACGCATTAACCAAAAATAAAAAAATTGCTCTTTGGTCAAAAAAGGTTCCCGACCCCTGTCTTAGACAAACAAAACTTTTCTCCAAATTGTGAATGGATTATGTAGAGAAACCAAGCAAAGGGCGCTCCCTTAAGGCACGGTACAGTTAACCAGAAATGACTGAGCTGGCTTATCTAAAACCAGGAAGTAATCGTGCATGTGGTCAATTGCTACACAAAACTAACCATGTTTCGAGGGGTCCCCCGGTAAAAATCGCGTTCTGGGGGCTAAAATACACGTTATTGGGGTCGCTTCAACCCGCGGACATGAAAAACAACCCGCAGCAACAGTGATAAAGTTGCCCAATTCCACGGGAAAACCGCGGACTTGGCAACACGGTGACGGATACAACGGACACGAGCGCTGTCATGGCGCGACCACAACAGCTTGGAGTTGTCTAATTTGGCACGGTCTCCCTGCTGCACTAATAGTAGTAAGCCATTCCTCTGTGTATACATCATAGGCGCGGGAAGTGGGGGTGCTGCAGCATATTTTTTCCCCCGTTTTTTTTTTCTGTGGGCAACCGTTTAACTGTTGGGAATTTAAAAAAATCGTTGGCAAAGGCTATTACACTAACTCCATCCACCAACGTATGATTGGGCTAGCCAAGATTACAAAAGAAGGTCACCAGTCCTCAGCTCCAGTGGTGCAGTTGGTAAAACGCGTGTTATCCACCTTTTGACGCGATCGACCAGGGTTTGAATCTGCCTTTTGGCAAACTTTTTTTCTCAATTTTCAAATTTCAAATCACATCAGAAAAGCATTTATTTTTTAATAAAAATGAAGGAAATAATCAAAAAGTTGAAAAAGTATCGGGTAGGGTTAGGGTAGGTGTAGGGAGGGCTTTTGTCCCAATAAGGTGGCATCCATTTAATAATTTGAATTAAAATTAAAATTTAGACCCAATAAGTTATTATTGCATGCTGTTTTATAATGTATTACAATGCTGAGGTGCAGATAATTGCCACTATTGGCAATAAGTAATTAGCAGAATATCCTGCTATTTTAATATAGTATAAATAGCTATTTGCACTTAGTGTAAATAGCATATATCACTAAGAAAATATGCTAATTTTATGTTTATTGTCCCAGCACAATAACACTCTCGGCAAAATATCGTCTAATTATCGTTATCGATAAAATCCCAGAAAATATTGAAATATTTTTGTCAACATCGCACACCCCTAATATATTTAATGTTTTGTTTAGAATTTTTTTTTAATAAATATGAGAAGTGCCCTTTTTTCCACTTGAGCCCCTGCCCCTAGAAATGTCTGCACGTCCCTGGCCATGCTAATATTCAGTACAACAGCACTCAGGAGTGTGACTTTCCTTGAATAAACAATGCCAATACAGCTGAAACGTTGTGACATGATGTGTAAAGCCTAATGGTGTGAAATAAATTATAAATACAAGACTAACCCGTATAAATACAAGACTAACCCGAAGTGTTTCTGCATCCAAGGGCAAAATCATAAACAATGCCAATACAGCTGAAACGTTGTGACATGAAGTGTAAAGCCTAATGGTGTGAAATAAATTATAAATACAAGACTAACCCGAAGTGTTTCTGCATCCAAGGGCAAAATCATGACCTAACTTTATTTAAAGGAAAACCAGAGCCAAACTAGCCATGCAGCTAACACACCTTCTCTTTATATAAGACACAGCTAAAGCTAACCAGCTAGTAGGAAGGTGTTGTATGCAAAACGACTTAACGTTACTGCTCAAAGATAAATGGCGGCGGGGGAGAATTATGAAAACATTTGCATAATCACAAAATCACAGTCTTAACTATTCCTACAGCCAGGCGCGGGTCTGATAGGAGTGATCGAGCCTTACAAAGCGACGCAAACCCCACCACGATGTTTCAAAGCACTAACAAGCCGAGAAGGAGACAGGGAAGCCGCGCAGACCCAAAACAGCACAGTTTGACTCGCATTTCCAGGAAATGCTTTGTTTCCTACCTCCGGTTCCGTCCGAGTTTTCGTTTAAACTGCCTGAAGAATCATGATGACTGCCCACACAACCACCCATGGATGTTTTCATGCGCCTCTTCTCCCCGCGGACCCGCTCTTTTTCGGTTTCCCCCCGTCCTTTCTCTGCTGGGATATAGATTGACAGGGCGCGGGCATTAGCTGGAGAGAGGCGGAGTGGGCATGTGCACATGCGGCTGTGACTCAAAACCTATAGCTGCCTGTTCACAACGCAATCGGAACGCGCATTTATGAGGTTTCAAAATGCTTTTCTAGATAGGCAGCTTGTTTTGAGACGCGGCCAAACTCGTCTCTATAGTACACACATGGCAAAGGATTTTAATATTATGGACAAATATAGAATGCAGTGCCTTTTGAAAGGCTATATATTTTTTAAATGTCAAAAAGTGATGGAGTCTATTGGCTGTAGGACACATTAGAAAGGTCTTGGTTAGTAGGGCACACTGGAAAGAATATTAGTTTCGTACGTGTAGTTTTTACACGTTATAGTGTTTTAACATGAAATGCCGCTTTTAATATATGGTTCAAGTACCGATCAAATAAATTGATTTGTTGAACATTTTTGATCGCCACATTATTTCCATCTGCTTCCATTTGTGCTATTTTATAGTTCTGATGATTTTTTGTTATTAAAATATGGAAAGGAAAAATAATATAATAATTTGAATTTGATTTTAATGATAATAAGAAAATGCATGGACATATGCTAAATAAATAAATAGTTTTAGTCCTATCCCAGATAGCAAGAACGTTTGGGCCAAATGTGGCTGATAGCTGTCACATTTGGCCTAGGTTTGGCATGGTTGAGCACATATGGGCCAAACTTTAACCGTATATGTTTTGCCATGGATTTAGAATTGGAGGGAATTTTCTTTTGGATGACAATTTTTTTGAGGTATATGGCCCAGATGATAGCACACAACTGAGAGCCATATGTGGCTTGGCTATGGCACACCATGGAATATGTTAACTTATGGTTAACATTTGGCTTTTATTTGGAAAAACACATATAAACTGCTGGCAGGTCAGTGGCAGTCCACATCTCAGCCCATTCAACAATGCTATTGGTTGCTTGTGTCTTCCCTTATTCCTATTGGTGGATTACTGAAACTTTATATCCGTTATTTCCAGCTCTGCTTCCTCTTTCAATCGCCGTTAAAAAAGATGATGATGAAAAAGCTCCCTATTTACAACAACAGCCTTTTTGCCCAGACACATTCTTATTCAGGTAAGTGCAGTTTTGGTGTTTTAAATGTTTTCTAGGGGTGTAATGGTACACTTATGCACGTGCAGATCAGTTCTGGCTAAAAAGATGTGGACCAGTTTTGGGCCGGCGAACACAAACTAATCTGGGCCACACTTTAGCTGTTGATATGGGCCAGATCCGCACCAAAGGAAATTTGCTGACTGGGATGGTTCTTGTGCTCTATAGTTTAGAATTGCTGTAGCGCACCACAAAAGTGGGCACAGCAACCCATTGTCTTGCGTCCTCTGCCGCAGATAGATTTGCAAGCAAACCGCCACTAGGGTCAGGGTATAATCTGGCAAACTGTTTACCAATCACGTTTTGCAATCGGCAAAGCAAACTGTGGTACACGCCACTACCAGTGTGCGATGGGTAACTCACAAAGCGTTCCTTCCTGTTTTCCCAGCACTATACCATAGAACAGGGATCCTCAAATCTGGCCCACGAGATCCACTGTCCTGCAGAGTTTAGCTCTAACCCTAATCAAACACACCTGAACAAGCTAATCAATGTCTTCAGGATCATTAGAAAATCACAGGTAGGTGAGTTTGATCCGGGTTGGAGCTAAACTCTGCAGCGCATTGGCCCTCCAGGGCAAGATTTGAAGAACCCTGCCATAAGCTGTGTCTCATTTAGAAGACTGCGCCCTCCAGAGGTCGAATCCTCTGGAGGTCGCATCCTCTGTAGGATGCATTTACGAAGTGTTCTCAACCTAGAATTAAACGAGACGGCCTTCGTAGGACAGGCGGAAAAGGAAACAGGAATTATCACGTTGCTATGCCAATGTAGCCGGTTCAGCCCTCACGGCTCGACTACCCCTCTGCGTTGTGATGTGGGGTGAGGAATAAACACTGGAGTCAGTCTGCTGGTTCAGTTGCCTTTTATATTGAGTGCTCTGCATCAGTAGAAAACATGCAGTTAATTATTCGTTGTACAATCAAGCCTGCTCCTGCTCGCTCTGCTCAGACCTCCCGCGGACTGAAGCAAAAGTTCACAATACAGAGAATTTCATATTTTACAAGATGAAGAAATAGTATAAAGAAAATAGTAGCAAATAATGATCACTTCAAATTCAACATAACTACATATGCAGAAGATGTGTTATATAAAAGACTTCACTTAATGAATTCAACATTTCCAGCATTTTGTACACACTGTGAACACACAGAGAAATTATGAAAACACATAAGAAACTGTACCTGCATCAGTAGAAAACATGCAGTTAATTATTCGTTGTACAATCAAGCCTGCTCCTGCTACACATTCACACAAAAAAAGAGAAATCAGCAGCCACGCTTCATAGGCTAACTTTCACAGGCTAATTTTCACGCTGACAACATCACACTGCATTCTCTCGGCTAAAACTACACTTTTGCAGGTTAAAACGGCTTTAAACTCAGTTCTAAGAAAAGGTAACATATTCATGTAACTCATTTGCACATCCTAACAAAACACTAATCAAGTAATTGGTGATTATTTCCCTTTGAACACGCTTCTGAACAAGACTGAACAAAATGCATACCTCGCTCTGCTCAGACCTCCCGCGGACTGAAGCAAAAGCGCGCAGCGCGCCAGTGATGTCACAACGGCGACGCGCACGGAACTCATAAAGAAATAAAATAAATATTTTTCTTTTCTTTTCTCACATATATATATATACATTATTTACCAACAGGATTTTGAGTGAATTTACAATAAAACAATTTATAATCAACACCTGCTACATTCACCCCCTTCTGAATTCACCAAAATCCCAAAGACTTAATCGATTTCACTTACATACTTGACCAGATTTTCAAAAATATCTCTTTACCTATTTCAGCTTAAAAATGCTACCTTCTAGCAAAGGCTGAGAGAAATTCAAGGGTGATCAGGCTTTAAAAACCTCCCAGAATAAAATGATGCCTTTTACACCATACCAGGTTTCAAACCACAAATCTTGGGGTCAATTGTATCACATCTATGGATCATGTCAAACGAATTGATTTACAATCATGGGAATAAAGCTATATCCGAAGAATATATCACAGGATATGAACTTGGACAATAAAATAAATCTCTAAAACAAGGTGAGTAATGACTGGGACTTTCTACCCAATGTGTTTGTAATTGATTTAATGTTTAACTGTCTCTGTGCCATAGATTCAATAAGACGATTGACCTTTTTGACCACTCTACCAGCACGTGTGACTCTTTCTTGAGTATTTTTTACACCCTGAGTGCCTCGGTCTCCAGTCTTTTGATCAGGCTGTTCTGTTTTAGACATGTCTCTTGTCTCTATAATGGGAGTAGTTCTGCCACTATTGAGATTGAAACAGTCCGTCTGACCATTACAAGTCTCTGTTATATGACACTCATCCTCAGAGGACTTCTCAGAGCAATCATCACATTGGCTCTGCTGTTCTCTCTCAGTATAGAACTGCACAGATCCAGTTTCACTTTGAGAGCTTTGACCCAGGGAATGTTCTGTTTCATCTAGCACCCAAAGGCTTGTTCGTCGAGAGCTTTCACTCTCTAAACAATCTGCAAGATCCTGGGGCTGTGAGTTAGCAACGGACTCCCATTCATCATCACATTCATTGAGATGCGGATTACTGGCTCCTCCAAGTTCCATCTGAACAGGTAAAAAACTGATGTCCAACAAGAGATTGCGATGAACAACTCTCTTAGCTCCATTCTCATCTTGCACCACATAGGTATGTGTCTGAGGGTTCCGGTTGATGACCACGTAGACGGTTGCCTCCCACTTATCGGCAAGTTTCCTCCTCCCTCTCTCTCCCTTATTAGCAATCAGTACACAATCTCCAACGTTCAAATGGGTGCCCTTTACTCTTTTGTTATATCCCCGAGCTTGTTTTTGTTGCTCTTTGGCACAATGCTGTTGTGCGATGGCTGCTGCCTCATGAAGGTGAGAGAGTAGTGTCTTGGTGTGACTACTATAATCCACTACTACAGGATCTCGGAGCACCTGTTTGAACATCACGTCTACAGGAAGTCTTGGCACGCGGCCAAACATTAGGTAAAAGGGGGGGAAACCAGTTGTTTCATGCACAGTGGCATTATAAGCAAATGTTAGGGTCTGAATTTGCTGGGGCCACTGATGTTTAGCTTTTAATGGCAAAGAACGCAACATAGCACCTAGGGTCCTATTAAACCGTTCAGTTCCTCCGTTGCCCATTGGATGGTATGCTGTGGTATGCGATTTAACAACTCCTGACAACTTAAGTAACTCTGCAATCAAACCACTCTCAAAATTAACACCTTGATCGGTGTGTATTCGTTCAGGGAATCCGTAAACACAAAAAATGTGGTCCCACAGCTTTCTGGCCACCTGCTTAGCTGTCTGATTGGCACACGGAAATGCATGGGCTAATTTCGTGAAGTGGTCCGTAACTACCAACACGTCAACAGAGTTTTGTTTAGAGTCTTCTGCATTCCAAAAATCCAAGCATACCAGTTCCATGGGTGCTGAAGTTCTGATACTCTCCAATGGGGCTCTAGCAGATGGTTCAGGTGATTTAGCGAGAATACATCTTTGGCAACATTTGACATAGGACTTGATGTCTTGCTCCATCTTAGGCCAATAGAACCGCTGCCTTGCTAAATGAAGCGTTCTTGCTTGACCTTGGTGTCCAGCAAGATCATGAATGCCATTCAATGCTTTGGCCTTAAGACTCTGGGGAAGGACATATTGATATCTCTTCTGCTTACCAGTTGGGTCTTTGATTACCCTATAGAGTATGCCATTCAAGAACGTAAGTCTCTCCCATTGCTTACTGAGAAAAAGTGCACTTGGATTGAGGTTTGCTTTCTCCCGTCTGGAAGGTCTTCTTCTGCGAGTCACAAAAGGAACAACCACGAATATGCTAGGATCTTGTTCCTGTCTTTGTTGGAGTTCCTCCAGGGAGAGTTCTGGTAACGTGTCTAGACTAGATGGTACAAACTGCTGAACAGATTGGATCAACTGCACTGCTCGGGACTCTGCTGCCAGTTCCCATTTGTTATAAGCTTCACAGAGGGCATGAACTTTGCCAGCATCACAAATACCTGAACTCACTATTGGAAGGACATTTCTCGGGTCAGTCTCTGACTCCAGGCGGTGACATTGAACTTTCAGTCTGAATGTGTCCTGGATCCCTTCCTCGCTAACTCCTTCAGCCTCAGACAGCAGACACTTATACCGTTCATGGAGCAACCTATGGCTGATTGTCTTTGTAAAAGGATCGCGGCTAAGAACATCAGCCACCACGTTCTTGTTTCCCGCTATGTGTCGTATCTCAAAGGTGTAAGGGGCTAGCTTTGCAACCCAGCGTTGTTCGCAGGCGTCTAGCTTTGGTTTAGTCATTACGTACGTCAACGGATTGTTATCCGTCCATACGGTGAACGTGTTTCCTTTGAGCCAATGACTAAACTTCTCGCAAACACTCCACTTTAAAGCCAAGAATTCAAGACGGTGAGCCGGGTATCGTTTCTGTGAGTTACTAAGTGTTTTGCTTGCAAAAGCGATGGGCCTGGCTTTGTCTTCACCCAGGGGTATCTGAGACAATACCGCCCCCAACCCATCTAAAGAAGCATCTATGGACAGGATAAAGGGTCTTGAAAAATCAGGATGCGCCAAGACTGCGCAGTTTAACAGCTTCTCTTTTAGGGTGCTGAAACTTGTATCGCACTCCGTTGTCCAATCAGAGGTTTTCAGTTTTCTAAAGGTACCAGTCTGTTTTGTGATCTGTCCTCGACCCATCCTCTTCTGACCAGCAGTGAGGGCAAACAAAGGTTTAGCGATGGCGGAGCAATTAGCTATGAAATGTATAATGTATTATGTATAAATGTATTATGTATAATAATAAAAGACCATCCCCAGAAAGGATTTAATTCTTTTAACTGAAGGAGTAATTCCGTCATCTTCCATAAGATCAGACTTGGTCATGCGGGAGATTACATCCACCTTTTCTGGGTCCACAGCAACTCCACCCCCTTCGATGACATGCCCCAGGAATCTCACAGAAGTTTGCAGAAGGTGACACTTTTTTGGTCTCAGCTTCAGATTGTGTTGGCGGAGTCTCTGGAATACTACTTCTAGCCTACTCAAAGCTTCCTTTTCAGTGGCTGCAAATACTAGTAGGTCATCCAAGTAACACAATAGCTGGGTGAAGTTCAGGTCGCCAAATATACTCAGCATCATCCGCATAAATGAAGCAGGACTATTGCATAGGCCTTGTGGCATACGATTGTATTCATGCAAGCCAAGTGGTGTGATGAATGCGGTGTATTTTTTGTCTTCCTCGTGCATAGGTATATTATAAAAACCTGAGGTCAGGTCCATTGTGCTAAAATAGACATTCCCACCCAAAGATGCCAAACAGTCTGACTGATGCGGGAGTGGGTGCGCATCTTTTAGCGTCCTGGCATTGAGCCACCTAAAGTTGTGCAGATTCTCAAACTACCGTCTTTTTTCCATACCATCACCAGTGGTGAAGCAAATTCGCTGGTGGATTTCCTTATTATGCCTTGATCTTCCATTTCTGTCAAGACTTGCCTCAGTTTTTCATAACGAGCTGGTGGAACTCTCCTGTAAGGAAGGCGAAAGGGGCGTTCATCTGTCAAGCGAATGCGATGAGAGAAGCCTTTTGCCTCACCACAATCCAAAGCATGTTTAGAGAAGATGTCATTATAGCTAACTAAAAGCTGAACTAACTCCCTTTTGGTAGAGTGACTGATTTGGCACAAATTGATGTCTATATCTTTCAGGCCAATTTCCACAAGTTTCTTCTCAAAATCCTCAGAGCTTGATTCAGGATAAGCAATTACTTGATCCTTTCCCTCAACCTGACTGGTATTCTGGAAAACTGTGAAATCTTCAACGGCCACACAGGGAGAAACATCAGCTAGCTTGCAATTCCTCTTCAGAGTCACAGGCTGATCGGAGAGGTTCATAATCTTCATGGGGATATATCCATCACCCCACATAGGTGTGATCACACGACCAACCAGGATGTTTCGTGGTATGGACTTTGAAGATGTGGGTTCGACAACCACTGTGCTTCCTGGGGACATAGGGGTGTTTTTCGGAAGTCTGCCCCATACAAGATACTCATGTTTCGCCAAGAGCGTTACAGCCTGTGTCAGCTTCACAGTCCCGATCTTGCTAGGGGTTTCGTTGCCCTGCCATCTCGTCAATCCTGCCATCATATCAAGAAATTGAGAAGCATCAGGGAATAATGACGGGTCACAGCTCTGAGCGGTCACTCTCCAATAATCGTCACTGCTTTTCATTTCATGTATGAAGTACTTTATGACGTTAGATCCAAGAATGAGATCATCTTTCTGCCCTGGGACCACAAGGATGGGGACGATACACTGAACACCGTACACTTCTATCTCCACTTCATACATGCACTTAGGGTGAGTTTGATGACCCCCACACCCAATCAGGACAACTTGCTCACTCAGCTGTTTGTCTTTAGTGATAACATTTTCTTCAAGCATCCGAAATGCCGTTTCTTCATTTACTGTACAAGCCATGGAGCCGGAGTCCAGCATTCCCTTCACTTGAAATGTTTTGTTCACAATTACTGGATCATAAAACAGTTCACTAAATAGTTCAATTCTTTGGGAATTCTGCATGACTACTTGAA